TCTATCTATCTATCTATCTATCTATCTATCTATCTATCTATCTATCTATCTATCTATCTATCTATCTATCTATCTATAACTTTCCGATAAATAGATATGGAAAATCACACTAACATCTTCTGCTTATTATAAACAACTACACTACTGCCATAATTTACAATATGCCTGTTTGGCCTTGGAAACACAAACTAACATTTCCATAGGCAAATGAGATTGTACTATTTTTTCTTGTATGTCAACAGAAGAATTGGATGAACAGTTCATGTTTTCTCATTAATAGGACAAAAAGAATTCTTGAAGTACACTTTCTTTATTGTTCTTTCTCACTGCCATCTATTCCCCAGATTCAAATATCAGATTGATATCGCTTTTTGTATTAATTTCCACACTCTGATATTGAAATCTATTATTAAAAATCAGATTGGAAGTTTTAAAGGAGTTATAATGTTTCTGTTTTCTTGTTTGGATGCTTTTCATTAGAACACAACTCTTAGCTCTGTTTTCAACTAGAAATTCCTTCTCTATCATTATCATTATCTATCATTATCTTAACATTTATCATTAGTTGCAAACAAAATCTTTGCATTTGCAAGCTACTTTGTGGTTCTTGCTTATGCATAATAGAATCTGTTCAAAAACTGACTGACCATAGAATCCCTGATTCCAAAGTAACTAAATTCTGTAGGACAAAATCAAACCAAGATAATTATCAATTAAAATATTGAAATTAATTGGCATATTCGTACATTAGTTTGTTGACATAGATGAAAGTAGCTTTCTTCTTCAAATAAAATTTACAAGAATTTATACATGTATAGAGGGTGCCACTGATTTTTCATTATGAGTCACTGGTTGTTCAGCAGGAAAAAAATATGGTGCCCTTTCAATTCTTAGTCTGCTTCAGCAATGAAGCAGAATAAATGTTCTATCCCCAAAGAAACAGGCATAAGAAATCCATGTAGCAAATCCATGTCCACATCTGACAAACACCTTGATTGATGCCAGTTGTTGACAAAAAAGTTCCAGAAGTTTTAGGCTGCCAATTGTTTGATCCCACTGAATGTACTCCGTGGTTTTGGAGAATTGGGAGCAAGTGGGTAGTTCTCCATTGCTCTTTCCTCTATTGTTCTGCCAAGTGTGGCAATGGAAGTTGCACGAAAACAAATCTGGTCCTATTTTCTTCTTCCCCTTAACTTCACTTGTCTCACCTGGCAATCAAAGCACACTAAGAGGAAAGGAGAGAAATGAGTCTTTTCTCTGTTTACCCATGGAGCCGATGGCTGAAGTGCTGCTTTCCCCCATAGCTGGCTAAAAATGGTATTCTTCCATGACATAAATGCACTTTTCCTGTCATTTCACCAAATATTGGAAACCAGAGATATCTTGCCAGCTTTTTCAGGGTTGGCAAGAGAAATGGAAGAGACAGTTGCTTGGGACAATGGGATAGAATATAGCCCTAAAAACCATTGTCAGGGTGTCGGTGTGCTGAAAGCAGCTTCGGGTGGCTATTGAGAGCAGGGCAGATCCTTTCCTTTAATCTTACTCTGAAACAAGGCACCACAAGTGGACCACATTATATAGCTTGTTCTGCAAAAGTTGGAAAATACCACTTTAGAAACAGAACAGCTAAACACAGGTAAATGCTGCCTCAACTGTGGGATGGGGTGAGCTGAGGATGAAATTGTTCATGCCTTATAAATCAATTTGCTGATGCATTGCTAGTCCAGATTTAATGAGCTGTGTCGAAGAACTCATTGTGTTGCTGTGTATTTTTATATGTAGTATAATCATTGAAAAGAAATACCTTACAATTCTGTTCTTATAGCAAAGCAGTCAGGCTGAAAGCATATCAGGAAGGAAAACTGCATTGATATATCTTTGACTTCCAGGTGGATAAAGAGACCAACACAGATAGTCTTATGCAATCTTCTCTAGTAGTTCGTCCAAAAGATAAAAGAACACCTAATCCTTTACAAACACCCTTTGTTAGAGGCAGCACAATCATCCGCTCCAAAACTTTTTCTCCAGGACCACAAAGCCAGTATGTGTGTCGGGTAAGGAAAGCAAAATTCATGTATTTATTTCTTTGTTTTCCCTCTTCTACAAATAGACAACTAATAATTAACTTAGTTAATACTATACTACAGTACATACTTTATGAAGAACATTTTCCTCTCCTCAATTCTCCTTTGATAATTTTTGATATGAGTTTGGGAAAAAATAAACTGGATTTTCAGTTAGTTAAAAATGCTCTTTGAAAATCATTAAAATCTTTTGACAGACCAACTCCTGACAGACTAAGCAAGTAGTTCAAGTGAAAAATGTTAAAACTCCCCTACTTTGATATGCACGAGAAGTTGCCACAATATCATTGCATAGAATTTCAATTTCTCATAATACAATTTTTTAATCTCTTTCAAATTCAGCAGACATGTAACTGAAATGTTGTTAAAATGCAAGTGAAAAATAATATATAGGTAGTCCTCAACTTATGAACATAATTGAGCCCAAAATTTCTGTTGTTAAGAGAGACATTTGTCTCTTGTAAAATGGGGCAATTGAGTTTTGCCCCATTTTATGACTTTTCTTGCTACAGTTGTTAAATGAATCCCTACAGTTGATAAGTTAGAAATCTGGTTGTTAAGTGAATCTGGCTTCCCCATTGACTTTGCTTGTCAGAAGATCGCAAAAGGTGATTACATGATCCTGGGACACAGCAAAGGTCATATAATTAAAGGTCGTAACTATGAAAAATGGTTATAAGTCACATTTTTCAGTGCCATTGTAAATTTGAATGGTCACTAAATGAACTGTTGTAAATTGAGGTGTCAGGATTCCAAGTAATAACCACCGATCAATCAAAACTCTGAGGCCTAGAGTTTCCTCAAAGCATAATTTTATTTGGGATGTCATATTGGCACAGCTGGTGAAAACCTGATTCTGAAGGACCCAGGATTTTCCCCCAAAAAACCAAAGTTCTTGCCCCCCAGGTCACATGTCCATCACATGGGCCGATCATGTCGCAGTTCCAACTCTGGCTGGCTTTGGTCCACATCTTTCAATACCTGGTAGAGTGTCCTTGGCTCCCATGGGAAAGAATGTTATTTTGGCTACATATCCCTCAGTTATCTCTACCTCGCATTCCCACAGCTCCACCATGCCTTGCTATGGCAGCCCGGAAGATGGTCCCCAAAAATTGCTTCAGGGCTGATACTGTCTTATTTGGCCTGTCTTAGGCCTGTCTTATTTGGTTTTCTTTTCCAAACTCATCCCTCTCACACATACACATCCCTGCATTTATCCAGCTTTTTTAATTTAAATTTTGCATGAATAGGAATTTTTATTTTAAGGTATGTTTCATTTTCTGCTGTTTTAGGGCTATGTTCATAATTTGAATAGTTCTGTAGCTATGCAGTAAATTCCAATGAAAAATGTGTTGCTTGTTAGGATTATATATAGTGTGTAATATTACAATGCAAGTTCATCTGATAAACCATAGCTCCTATATGTCAAGAATTCTAAAGTTCCTAATTGCCCAACTGTACTAGAAAGCACATAAAAATGCAAGAATAAAAATAGGGACCACCTTTGGTTGGAAGGTAATCGCATTCCGTGCGCCTTAGGCATTTAGTCATGCCGCCACATAACCATGGTGACGTCTTTGGACAGTGCTGGCTCTTCGGCTTTGAAATGGAGATGAGCACCACCCCCTAGAGTTGGGAATGACTAGCACATGTGTGCAAGGGGAGCCTTTACCTTTTTACTAGAATTCAGATGTAGATGCTTAGCATAAATATTACCATATTGTTTTCTTCCAAGTTATATATTGTGCCAGTTATATTGCTGCTCAATTATGAATCAAGTGTGGTGACTTTTATAGAAAGAAAGGAGAAAGAAAGAATATAAGGGCAATTTGAAAGTAAACATGTCAGTGATTTCAAGTGCAGCCTATAATGCAGCCAAGCATGAATGAATCCAGTGCATTGTAGCTACATCTGTGGGGGTTTGGCTTTTTGATAAAATGCTTATTTATAATTAATTAGCACCAGGAGGCAGGATCAGGCAGGACTATAAATAAACACTCTTTAGCCTTGGTCTGAGAAGCAAAAGACGGAAAACACTGTCAAGAAGTTTCTTTCATGAAGGATGGGCTGGTTCTGTTGAAAAATGTTGGGTTCCTTCAGCACATCAATTGCTGAAGGCACCCAAGAGGTCTTTTTTATGTGTGCCACTGAGAGTCATTTTTTATTACTGCAGCATATAAATATGTTAAATAAATAAAATTATTGCTCACAGATTCTGACACCATCAGGATTTTTAGGTATCCATTTTCTCTTTGATTAGTTGCAACTCTAAGCAATAGGCTATACAATTTTATCATCTTCTTGTTACTGTTTTTAAAGCAGACCTTCTGGCATCAATCCACAGAATAAATGACACATGCCAAGGTTTCCAGGCATCATATGTTAGATGAATAGTTTAGTACAGTAAACAAGAAATGAAGAAAATCCTTCAGAACATCTCAGTTTACTTACCTATCTAGCACAAAATAGCAAAAAATGCAGCTTTAAAACTTAAATGCTGCTTGTCTGATATGTTCAATAGCTTTTCAAGAAGAATGTGTTATTTAGCATTACTTAACGCCCTAGATATGTAAAGAGCATTGGGGAGAAATAATTCATAAGTAAGCAGCTCTGCCCTGTGTTACAGGCAAATAATCAAAGAGATTTTGTTGCTTTGTAGTTGGATTCTGTAATTACATACAGAATAAAATTTTTAAACTTACAACATTGAAGTGATTTGCTATGGATGACAACTGGAAATTTAAGGTATTCTACCGAGAGGCAGATTTCTTTATTTATTTATATATATATATATGGCAAAATATATATATATATATATATTATATATATATATTATATATATATATTA